CATCAAGAGAATGGTGAATGTGGAGGTTTGTAAGGAGTAGTGAGTGGAAGTTCATGGTTTCTGCCACTGGCGAGATAAGTGTGATGATACAGTCGATGCTCCAAGAAGATACCCGACCCCTAACCGTCTATTTGGTTCGGTGTAAATCAGTGTGAAGAAATGTGTTAAACAAGCTTAACCTTTAACCCGTGAGTCGTAAAATTCATTTTGGTATGACTACTTTATTGCATCATTAGTGAATGATTTTTAAACCAATTTCATCTTTTATCACATAACTAATTGATATTTATATATGAAACAAAAATCTGAAATTCAGTTACACTTTTGTATGAATGCATAGGAAGGCTCTCAGAATTACAAGTTAGGCTATAAAAAAAAGGGTGTAAGGTATCTTAGGTCATCAACTGTATATATTTTTGTAAGTGTGTATTTGAATATCTGTCTGTCTCAAGGGGATTTCACGAAAGTTTGTCCCCAGCAATGGAGAACTTTTATCCTGGATAGAAGTTAGTAATCAATAAAAAATAGAAGGTGTGTTTTCTTTTTAAGATTCCTGCCGAATGGATCGTATTTAGATGCCACTGCCCAGAGACCCGAGGATTTGGCCAAAACAATAAATGATATAATTAATAATCGGGACAGATATTATGATTTCTTCAGATGGCATAAGTATTACAGTATTCACGCCTCTAACGAAACTGCGGAAACAAATGAAATATGTGCATTTTGTGCATTTCTTAACGATCAAAAACATGTCTATAAAAAAAGTGTATACAAGCTTATTAATTATTTTTGGTTTTACTAGCAAATTTGGATTTCACTAAACAAAAAAAAATATTGAAAATCATGATGGGTACTATAATATTCATATATTTTTTGTGAAATTACTCCACTAGTTTGTTATAATTATTAATACCAACATCGAACACAAAGAAAAACTCCTACGGTCTGACAGGCCACGAACCTGTAACTTATGCCAATCTATGGCAATCGCCTTACCAACTGAGCTACAGATCGAGTCAGTAAACATTACAAATTACTCCATGCGTTTGTTATATAAACCTTTGTTTTTGATGTTAACGGTTTTTTGCCTTTGTGGCATCAGTGAGAAATCTATGAAAGTGTTTTTTCACTCAACCAGGTACCTTTATGGCTACCAGAGTTTGACAAGTGATGTCGCGTTAGCAATCGTAATATTGATTTTATTGTATATCATAATCTGTTTTACTACCACGATATTAATTAATTTTTTGTGAAATCACTCCGCAAGTTTGTTACGACAGGCCTTGTCAGATTGAAGGACTCTTTCTATGCGATCGCTCTTCGTAATGACTATTCAGCTTTGAATAGCTAGAAATTGTCACTTTCGTGAAACACAGATTAACAAAATAGAACGAAATTAAGAACATTATTTTGAGAAAAATGGATTTGAATAATAATATACATTATTTATTCAGACATTAAATTTTTTTAAAGTCCAATAGTGTAGTACACTAATTGATTAGGTTAGTATAATAATAAGTATAAAAATAATGTGAGCATGACTGCGTTCTGGTTTTGAAGGGTAACATCAGACTTGGCAACTTATGTCTCAGGGTGACAGATTTTTGTCATTTAAAGCTCTGAGTTGCACTGAAACATCTTATGGAGAGACGTGTACCTTACCATTAGTTGCACGACATTTTCATAGTGGGAACTCGTACCCAGTAGTGGGTATAATGAGTTGATGATGACTACAAAAGTATATGCCTCTCTTTGTTTGACTACACAACCCCAACAATTTTTATTCCCATGAAAATAAAATGAATAAAAATACAATATAAAAATTAGTTAGCATAGCGTCTGCCGCGGTTTGCTAAAAGACGTCGGTTCGGAAGGAAAATTTTGTAAGTATTTTTTGGGTGGCGAAATACTTTCGTAGATGGCGTTACGGTAAAAAAGTCGTCGAAAACCAAGTACACTCGATGCCCTCACTTAAGTATCCACTATTTGTATGACACTTAGTACAAATAGTGTACATAAATGAGAGCACCGACTGTACAAAGATCCGACAACGAGCACAAAGAAAAACTTGTGAGATCTGTTGGTTCGTTCCGTGGCTTAGTTGGCATAGCACGGTTTGCTAGAAGACGTCGGTTCGAATCCGGCCGGATCGAAGGAATTTTTTCTGAGTATTCGATCTCTGTATTAATAATTATAACAAACTAGTGGAGTAATTTCACAAAAAAATAATTGCATATCAATTCAATACAAGTTTAAGTACAATATAAGATAAATATTTTTTTTATTGTATCCATGTGGACATTTCAATGCATTTTTAAATCACATCTTCATAAAATGCATAAAAAAGTGTCTTTGAATCCCAAGCATGTTACGTGTAAATCCTAGAGTTATTATTCTTGAACTTTGCAGACGCTATTAAAAAACAAACCTTTGATATTTGTAATTTTCAAATCCAACTTCACATATTACTTTATGATATAACAGGTTATAACAGGTTTGAAGGGTAAGAGTGCTTGTGAAATTACAGGCACATGTCAACTTATGTCTCTGGTTGACAGCTCAATATCAGTGCCCCTCAGATTTTTACGAGCTCAGAGTGGCACTGCAATTGTTATGGACAGGCGTGTAGGCGTCGTTCAAGTCGTGTTCGTCACATGGTATTATGAAAAACTCTGATATTCGATCAATTTGATATTCGAGGTTAGCAGGCCAATTTTCGGTAATGATAAAAACTGTCACGACAGTGATCAGACTCATATTCATGTCATTTAAGTATTTGGTTCAGTTGTCTTTATTATCACAGTATTCATTCAATAATAAGTGAAATATGATATATTCTTTATTGTACAAAGAAAAGACACATGAAACACACGTTACAATGGACATATACAAAGGTGATTGTATGTTATTTTATTAAAAAAAAAAACAAATCTTACCCTAATAATAAAGCTACGTGGGATCATACGACGCAAAGTGATTCAATCACAAGAAATGAAAATCAGAAAAACATATGAACTAAATGAAACAAATTATGTGAAATTTTATAACTCTCCTGATTCAGCTCAAAAATGTTACCAACTAATTTCGTTGGTAGTACCGTTAAACCTAGAGGAGGTAGAATAGATTCTAAAAAGATGCATGACACGATAACTTTAGCAATATTAGTAACAATAATTCCGAAGTTTACCTCTAGATGGCTTTGGCATAGAAAACGCAATTACTGAATCGCGGTGTTAAGGTTTTCCCTAATGTAATGACCTGTCACTAGTATCTTGTATGAACCTGATCTATTCTTCTACTTCTCAAGTTATTATTGATCGATTCAACGATTTCATTTCTACGGTTATCCTCATTAGTAAGGAAGCATATCGAACACGCGCCAGTCGCGCCCATCTTTCGGCACAGGTTACGAGAACACCTCTGAGTGAGTGTCTTTTTGTACAATTTGCTCGGGACGGAAACGGGACGAATTCCTTTCATTAGACACAAGCTTCTGTTCAATAAATCAAATCTTCTTCACCAAATTTCGTCGTTTGATTCCTAGACGTAGTAAGGGGACACCAGCTAGCCGATCAAACCTCTACCACCCCTTACTACAGTTGTCATTTTGCAGATGGGACCTTATTAAACCAAGAGTGCGAAATAAAAGAAAAACTAACTGACGTCATTTATGAACCTTGTAGGAATATTTCGGAAAACAAATTTAATTAAAAAAAAAAAATTATTTATTACATAGTAATGCGCACTGCATTTGACCTTTCATTTCACCTGATGGAAAGTGACGATGGCGAATGCATACCTAAATAACGCCTATTCAGTCTTGCCTTGAAAAGGCCCAAGTTATACCGTTCGAGGAACAAGTCTGCAGACAGGAAATTCCACTCCATAGCAGTTCGCCATATAAATGAGGAAGCGAAGCGCTTGGTGCTAACCCTTGGAATATCCGCAACATAGGGGTAGAATCCAAGCCCACGTCTAGTTCCCCGTGATGGAAATGTGAAGGTGGAATTAAATCGTGTAATCCTATCTCCATAGGTCTCCGTTATATATCCTTACCTTTTATTGGTAGGATATACCGAGAAGCAGGCAACTTTCCGGTGGTGTTAACAATTCAATGCTATGAATATTGATCATGTAATTTTGTAACACCACAGCCCAATGACTATTATTTTAGTTACGTCGTCTTATGGCTAAATGCATTTGTTGTATTGGTATTGAACATAGCATTTTGTACTGTAGACTCAGGGCCTCTGTGGCACACCTAACTCGTTTCCGGGTCAGCTTCCACTTATAGTACTCTTCACTCTCCTGGGACTTGTTTCTACATTACTGCTTCCATTTGTGGGACAGTCGTAGCTGTAAAGGACATTAATCTTGTAAAGCTGCCTGTACACGTTGTATCCATAATAAACTGCATATTCATACCTGCCTTTTTTGTTGTCTGTACCTACTTCGCTCCTTTTATAGCACTACAATATATTATTCTTTTCGCCATTTCACCCATTTTTTAAATAATTATCTTTTTAGTAAAACAATACCCTGAACTAATAATGGACAATAATATTCTTGTTTGTTGGTACAACTCTATTTTCATCGATGTATGGCTATGATAATGTACTTGCAAAGTGGACACGTGAGAATTGAAAAGCAATAAAATATTTAAAAGAGGAAAAATATGAATAAAATTATAGTAATATTTAAATTATTTATTATTTCTAATGCCATTGAACACGAGAAAGACAACTCATTGATATATATACTTTTGTGGACAGCGTACATGACACCGGCATTAAATAACGAACAAGGACAAGTTTATTTCATCAACAGAAAATGTAGATTCCAAAATTGTTACGTTACTAGTGACAAATCATATCTTAAAACTGTAAAAGACTTTGATATTATATTGTTCAATTCGAGGACTCTTGATTACAATATCACATTTCCGTCCGCACGTTCCGAAGAACAGAAGTATGTTTTCATGAGTGAAGAATCGCCGGCTGTATATCCTTTGCCTAAAGGCTACAATGGATTTTTCAATTTGACTTGGACATATAAACTAGATTCGGATGCCATTTGGTGATTTTTAATAATACGAAACAAAAAAGGTGAAATAATTGGACCGTCAAGAAAAAATATTAAATGGATAGATTTCAAAGACATGAAACCGGCGAATGAAGAAATAAAACGCAAATTGCTGAAGAAAAACAAAGCTGTAGCTTGGTTTGTGTCTCATTGCGATACACCGAGCAGACGTGAGGAGTTAGCCAAAGACCTAAATGAAGAATTAAGAAAATATAATCTTAAAGTTGATTTTTATGGGCAGTGTTACAACCCTTCGTGTGAAGGAGAGTGTGGGAAAACTGAAGGAGATAAATGTTTTGCAATAATAGAATCTGATTATTATTTTTATTTGTCGTTTGAGAATTCAATGTGCGAAGATTATGTGACGGAAAAGATATTAATAGCCACAAAACACTATGCAGTGCCGATTATTAATGGTGGTGCAGATTATAACAGGTAAACACCTACTGTATTACTTAACAGGATCGATAGTAGAGCTTAAAAAACAACAAAAACGGAAAATGTAACTCGATCTCGATGGCCTAGCAGTTTGCATTGTGGGCGCTGGTGATGTGGTTCTAGTTACGATTCCCGGTAGTATTGATTTGGAAGATGAACTTTTGAAAATTGGTTCCGGTCTGGACATTCAATATAGTGCCCATGAGTGAATTACGTTGCTTTCGTACTCATAATACAGGAAATTCCTTAGTTTGATTTTCTTATTCTTATTCTTCTTATATCTTAATTGTGAGACAGTCTCCATACACCGTTGCCGTTGTCATAACGCGTATACCATCTATTAATAATTTTAAAAAAACAATGATCTGGTTTGAGATTTATGTCTAACGTCATGACAACGAATCATCAATTGATTTTGTCCTTTATTAATTCTGCTAAAGTCTTTAAATTATTAAACGGAAAATAAATAAAAAGAAAAAGTGTGGAATGGCAAAAACATGTACAATAAGTATGACGTAACTAAGACTGATAATTACGATCATATTTCTGACATAGAAGCCAATTACAGGCATAATCTACACGGGAATTATAAATTTAGTATTGGTTCACTACAGATAATGAAATTAAAAACAAAAACTAAATAGAACTAAGGGACGGATTCAAACTATAACGCAGAAATGCTCAAATACATACGAGCATTTCTTATAAGATTTAAATAGATTAGGTGGCAGTATTTCCCTATGCAATTGTTGTGTTTTGGTGGCAACACTTTGGACGTAACATACAGTAAAATTGTTGCAGATTTTTACCACCTGGATCATATTTGGATGTAAATTCTTTAGGACATGGAGCTTTGGCAGCAATTATAAACGATACAATTGCAAACAAAGAGAAATACTATGACTATTTCAAATGGCATAATCATTATAGTATCCACGCCTCGAATGAGAGTGCAGACAGCGACGAAATCTGTGCATTTTGTGCTTTTCTCAATGATGAAAAACATTCATATACAAGAAGCGTGTACACACACTTAAGTGTCTTTTGGAAGTATTATTACTGAATGTGTTCCAAACCTTATTGTTTTTTATGTAAATCAGACACACGGTTTTCCATAACCTCATTTGATGTCAAGGGATATGCGTCTGCGTCTTCAGTTTAGATTTGAATAGCCCTTTTGCAGTTTTCGGGAAATACAGTAGCGGTATATAGGGCCAGTCGAAATTATAAAACAGACGGTGCTGGCGGTCAGATGTAATACGTTGACCCGGCGGTTTAAGCACTGTAGTGAGCAAGCTAAAATCACGCTTTTCAAGGTCTATTGCCAAGTACACTACACGTGCAACTGGTATAACTTTACGCAGAAGGCCATTATCGCCTTTCGCATCTAATATAATAACGGCTTCAGGATGTTGACGGGGCTGCCTCGCTTCTGTAGCGCATCGGGAATGACTATTACGCCATCATGGGCAAAACGACGACCTCGCTACTCTGCTGACTGCGGATCAACTCCATCCTGATGACCGTGGTAGGGAGATATGATTCCTCCATTATGCGCCATTTCCTCCAGGGGCTTGTTAGCAAAAGGTGTTTCTGAGAAAAAGAATTTCCTGATCATTGACTTACAATTATATGGACGTCGGGTCCGCGCTAAAAAGTGTCCGAACTTATAGGGCGTTAAAATCGTATACAGAGCGTCATTCACGCTTTAGTCTTCGTTTGTTCGACTGACAGCGAAGCAAGCAAAATTAGACAGTACTGCGATGACATTACAATTTAAATTCAACGTTTTAGCTTTTTCATATTCCTTTATATGTCCTTTAAATAGGTTGACTTGGGACATTTTTTTCGTGGTTTTTGTATTAGATCCGTCGTCCATTTATTCGTAAGTCAATGTTCCTGATAAACACTATTATATGTATTAGTATTTAGTATTATTTCTGTTCGTGATTTTTCTTTGTTATCTGAATTAAAGATGAAATTAATTCAAAAGTTTTGGTGAATTGTTGTTTGTTTTCTTTTTTTTTTAATAAGTAATGAAGACATGCTTAGCCACAATCACGCCTGATGTTAAGCGGTGATGTGACCTACGATGGTATGCGTTTGTTACCCAATCACGCAGAAATAATTCAACGAATTTGGATTCTATTTTATATATAAATAGTTATGCAATCTAAATCTCAAATAATGTTCATTTTATAGACAAGAAAATTGATTAAACTCTAGTACTTGTTTGTAAGGCAGATTCCCTTGAGAAGAATGAGTAAGAAGCTCTAGGAGTTGCTTCTTGTAAATAAATATTTGTACATGTTTACAATTTGCAATATTTATTTCAAAGACACAACCTCCATGAGATAAACGTGTCATTTCAATGGTTTTTTAAGCTAATATAATTGGAAGAAGCTAATATTTTTCTTTATGATATCAAGTGACGGGACGAACAACTCGTGTACCTGAGGGTAAGCGAAACGCGTGTCCATAACAGTTGCAGTGCCACTCAGAGCTTTAAAATGCGAACATCTGAGGGGCACTGTCACTGCGCTCGTCATCCTGAGACATAAGTTGATAAGTCTCATTGTGATTGTAATTTCACCAGCAACCTTACCCTTCAAAATCGGAACGCAGTAATGCTCACGTTACTGCTTGGCGGCAGAAATAGGTAAGGTGGCAGTACTTCCCGGGACGAACTCTTTGACAACGATTTCTACAGCTACATATAATAAACCCTTAATACAAAGATCGAATACAAAAAAATCATTCAATCGGGCTGGACTCGAACCAGCGTATTCACCATACCGTGGCTGATGCTCTACCAACTGTGCTACGGAACAAATCAATAGATCTTACGAACTTTGAATTTTTATTGAACTAAGTCGTTATTGTAATTGCAAGATTAGGTAAAGGTGGTGGTGGTGGTAGAAGACGTCATTTGCGTCGTTGTTGGCTATCGGACTAACTAGTGCAAATGGTATCAAGCGGTGTTAGTATTAAAACCGATGTCGCCACGCACACACCTATAAGCTAGTCTTACATCTTCTTCGTAGATTACACTTTTAAGATTTGAGAGACTCTGGATAGTTTTTTATTTATTTTTACTTTAATTATTAAGGACACACCAATTACAACAATTAAATAAACATTTTTTACCAATTAAGTGTATTGAATATCAGAATGTTTCACTACCATGATAGTTAATTATTTTTTTGTGAAATTACTCCACTAGTTTTGTTATAATTATTCATACAAAGATCGAACACTTGGAAAAATTTCCTTCGATCCGGCTGGACTGAACATCATAGATGTTCAGAAGACGTTAGAAAACCAACACAAACACCTACAACAAGTTCATAGGAAAATTTTTAAGGTCCGCTGGTTCGTTCCGTGGCTTAGGTACCATAGCGTCTTGCACGACTTTCCAATCCAGCCGGATCGAAAGATCTTTTCACCCAATTATTTAAAAATAATTATATGAAATTAAGTACCTTCGAAGTATCCCTTTTCACAATAACGCAAACATTCTGAGAATTTTATTTAGTATGGGACCACGGGGTGGTAAACATCTTGTGTCGTCTACTGCAGTGATAGTAGTTGGGCGCAGAATTTTGTACGTAATCGCATGTTGGTATTTCATGCACCTAACCTCCTACGAATTATAACCAAGACAACCCAACACAAATGTAGTAGGATACATGTAAGAATAGTATCCATTCACTCGCTTGTATAAACGTCTAAGAAACGCTTTGGGCACTTTCTCTAACATAATGATTATATGAGATTTGACGTAGATTCCATACGTTCACGTTCACAAATAAGCGATTCAAGTATAAACCTTTTGGGGATAAAAAAAATTATACTTAGTAGTAGTAGAGCTCTATGTGAAAGAGTTCGTCCAGGGAAATACTGCCACCTTACCTATGTCTGCCGCCAAGCAGTAATTTTAATGTTGTATATTACTGCATTCCGGTTTGGAAAGTTAAAGGTGCAGGTGAAATTACAGGCACATGGGATTTCTCAGCTTATGTCTCAAGGTGACGGGCGCAGTGGCAGCGCCCCTAAGAAATTTGCGATTAATATCTTTCTGTAGCACTGAAACTGTTATAGATAGGCGATTCGCTTACCATTAGGCGTGCGACTTGTTCATCCCTTCACTTGGTTAGTATAGGTACATGGTGGAATGTCGATTCCAGTCCTGTCTTTTTTATTTTTTCTTATTTTACGTTTCTCTTTTCACAGTTCTGCGCATTATTTTACAATTGAATATGTGAATCCCATACGGGTTGGAGACTTCACACGGGTGCTTGTAATCCTACTCAGGATTTCAGTGTGCCAGTTTCGGGGTGCACAAAAGGTTAACAACCTGGTTAACAATCTGCGGACCTTACGCCACTGATAATGCTTGCCATTGACACTATAAGAAGAACTATGCCAGTTTTTTTTCGACTTGCAAGTTTCGTCGCAATGTTTTCCTTTACTACGTACATGCCACCACAGGGAATTAGAACCTCTCCATTGAGAAGCAAATGTTCCCTCAATGGGCTACTACAGCTTAATGTAAATATAATATGCCTGCAATAGTAATTAATCCCACTGCCGCTCAATACATCGAATAACAAATTAAGGTATGTACAATAGCATGTTTGTTCACATGTTACTTTGGCCTACTCCACTAGTCCCTACCAGCTGTGCCCCCTGGTAGTTTCAGTGAGTTGTTGTGCCCTTCCTCGTAAAACTTTGTCCCAATTGCTTCAACAAATGTGTGTATAGTTGAAATGGCGGTTCTTTAGCGCATTCTCTTCTCCACTGCGTTTTTTATTCAGTAAATGCGTCTAAAGTCAAAACAGCTTTTTTCTTCCAGTGGCATTACAACGTAGCACATGTGCAGCTAGTTATGTGAAGATGCGCCCGTCGATCGTCATCCCACGTTTTTTCACCCTTTTCTCTGCTTCATGACAACCTACTTTGAAATTTTGAATCGTTCTTTAATTCCTTTTCTTCGTTCCGTCGCCACTCTCTACTAAATTTCCGAAACGAGCAGACGCTCGAGTTCATATCAAATTCTGGCTAGTTATACCATTGAAAATCATATAACCTAACTGCTTGTAAAGAATAATATTTGAACAAACACAGGCCGTTTTGGGCCTTACCTTTATCTTTATCTTTCCTCCTTTGCCTGTTCTTTGTCTATTCTTATTTTACAATAAATGATGTGGACCGAGCCTTTCATTTAATTACTAAAATCCTACGGCCACAGTTATTTAAAATTACCTACCAGTCTATAACAAATATAGTTTGTACAGAATATAGGTGATTTTGGGTGAAGATCAAGCTAAATCAATAATATATAATTGTTATAGGTCATGTAACTTTTTGTTTGTAGCCAAATTATAAATTTATCAAACAATCGTAGAAATTCTTATCATGATAAACAATGAACTACATTTTTTGATTTCTGAATTTTGTTAGCCAGTTATAACAGACTCAAAAACGTGTCAGCAAAGAGTAGGCGTTCAAGAATTGTACATATCATATATTAATGCCAAAATGATTGCAATACAAAAAACAATTCGTGGTCCAAAAATAGCCATAATACTAATAATACTAAATTCTGTTATTGATGTAATAGGGAACAAAAAGAACAGCTCCCTAATATATTTATTAATATGGGGAACTTACAACATCGGTCTAACGTCGTATTTAGACAAGGAAACGGGGCAGCAATACTTTACTAATAAGAAATGTCGCTTTCAAAACTGTTTCTTAACCGACAACAAAACTTATTTCAGTGACGTAAAAAATTTTGATGTTATATTATTTAATGCTATGACGTTTAATGATTACCACGTAATGCTACCACTAGACCGATCTATAAAACAAAAATATGTATTTTTGAGTGATGAACCGCCTGCGATACACCCTGTGCCTACGCATTACAACGGGATTTTCAATTTCACTTGGACGTACAAACTAGATTCAGACGCATTATTCAGATACATAATAATAAAGAACAAAAACGGTGAAGTTATAGGTCCTAAAACAAATATGAATTGGATAGATGTTAATGACATGGAACCAATAAGCG